GTGGTGTCTTCTGAGAACTCAAGAGGTCTGGTGGAAGAAAATCCAAGGAGAGCTCCTAGTTATGAATCTTCCACTTACTGTTATGTAGCTGCAAAGCTTAGAAACAAGGAAAGGATTTGAATGGCTTCTTTGAGCATTCGTGAGTGTTCTGTCGTCTCTTGATTACCATACGACGACTTGAAGCGAGATTTAACATGACATTAGACATTCACGAGTCAATGTTGCCATGGAGCAAAGCCCTGTAATGAAAGAGATAAAGCTGAGAGTGAATTGTGGAGGATTCCTTGGCCATGCGCTATTCTTCACCCTGCTCCACCACTCTGGAGAGAGGTTTTGTTTTTGTTTTTAGAATAGGTCTCACTTTGCAGCCCAGGCCGGACTGAAACTCATTGCTCTCCTCCTGTTTGAGTTTTCCAAGTGCTGGGATTACAGGAATGCACCACTATCTAAGACAAAAATGTATCATTTAAATGATAAGGATAAAGACTTTAAGATTATATTTCAATGATAGCACTATTTTAATTTTAATTTCCTTAAAAAAAATTCAAACTCACCATTGGACATTACCCTATCTATTTAGTAATGGCCTTGTGGTTTCATATTTCAGAGTAGTGTTTGTTGTGTTAAAAGGGAAGAAAATAAGGACCGAAAATTTGTTGTTGTAGAAACATGGTTCCCTCAGAAGAAAATTGAAAGTGTATCCTGCATTGGATTCTGTAAGTGTGTCCAGTGTGCAGGAAGCCATTGAGTTCACCCTTCTCCAGAGAGCAAAAAGCCAAGGCCTCTCCATCTCCCATCAGAATCCAAAGGGTTTGCATCTGTAGAATATCCCGTTCTCTCTGGGTATGGTGTCATCCCAGCAGGAATCTTTTTATCAGTAGTTCTGTGGGCCTCCATTGGTTCTGCCAGGTTTTGGTGTGGGTCCCTTGGGCCATGTTTGTTTGTATTTGATTCCTGAAGCCTTTCTTGAAATGCTGCTACTCTAAGCCACACAGTTTTTTCTCATGCTTATTAAATATCTGTACTTGGTGCTGGGGAAATTGACTTGATTTATGGCAGCCTCTTTTAGGGCTAAAGTGCTCTTTTGAGCATACATACACACAAACACTGATAAGACAAAATTTTCTTAAATAGAAGTAACTTTAATCACATAGCATATCATTTGAAGTTAAATGTTCCTGTGACAGTAGCACCAATTGACAATTGAAAGTGTATAGCGCATGAGGCAGGAAGAAGAGCAAATCCTTTCCAGAGCAGTTCCTGTGACAGTGCGGACTTTCCTGCTAAAATAAAGCAAGGCTCTTTCTCCTCTCTGTTCAATCCAAAGACTGGTGTGAGGTCCTAGCAAGGTAGCTGCCCTGAGACACTGGGTAGTGAATCAGGTTGAGATATCCCCTGTGCAGGGCAAAGCTACAGCACTGACTGTGGGTAGGGATGGCTTGTACCGACTCTGGAGGGCAGAAGGAAAAGAGGTTTGTGAATGTAGAAATGAGAAAACAAGCATGAACTTTAGGTGTTGGGCTGGACATTAGAAATGTTGGGGTGAATTTGTGTTCTTCACTGTTTATAAATAAATACAGATATATAGATAGATATGTAGATAGATATAGATATATATCTGAATATAGATGTATTTGATATCTCTTAATATAGAGAGATGTGAATGTGTGTGTGTTACATATAAACACATACAGCACATCCTAGCTCTGTGCACAGAGAAGTCCTGGAAGAGTGACCACACCAAACATTCAGACCCTAGTTCCTAAAGGGGACAGAAGGACAAGGTGGACCTGAAACTTGCCAGAGGACAATCCCAAACTAGAAGTCCTGGTCAAATAGAGACAGTCCTATTACCAAACAGATGACAGTCACAGCCTCTGGAACAAAGCAGGAAGCCATGAGACGTTATAAATGGTAATATATGCTTCCTGTTCATTTTCTTACTGCTGGATATACCTCTAATATAGACGGTCACCAATTTATGATTCTACGTATGAGTTTGCAGATGTACACGGTGTAAGAGCAACACATAGAGAGTAGAAAGCACTCTTTGAATTTTTGTCTTTTCCTGAGATACGTGGTCCAGTTCTCTTGTGCAGAGTTAGGCAGCGGCCGAGCACTGCCACTTGCAGTCAGCCCAGGATTACCAGGAGTGATGACACGCCATGGTGCTGTGCCACTGTGGTGCCCTGCAGACTGGGGCAGTGCCAAATGCACTTAGGACTTAAGAGTATGTTTTGTTTAAAATCAGTTATCAGGACATACACTGTGAGTACAGATAGAATGATCTTCCTTGTCACACTGCATTGCCCAGTCTTATCTCAGTGACACAGCACCCAAACCCAAACCTCAGGCTCTTCTGTGAGTACCTGCGGCCCTTACAATTCAGCCAGAGAAAAGCCAAAGAAAAGGGACTGCTCCAGACTGAGTCACGTGGGGCCCTGCTTTGGACCCTTTGCTATCTGGACAGTTTTGAACTTGGATGGGGTTTGTGGATTGATCAGCCTTGATCTCTCAGTACTGGTCCTTATGCTGTGGTTCAGTCAGAAGGTGTATTATGTCTAGGAACATACACACCAGCATGCTTTTCTTTTCTTTATTATGCGTACAATGTTCTGTCTGAGTGTGTCTGCACGCCAGAAGAGCACCAGATCTCATTATAGATGGTTGTGAGCCACCATGTGGGTGCTGGGAATTGAACTCAGGACCTCTGGAAGAGCAGCCAATGTTCTCAAGCTCTGAGCCATCTCTGACCCCTAGGAACTTGCACACCAGCATTCTTAATGAGGTATTGTATCAGAAATTATCACAGAGAGTTTGGGGAAGTGCTCTGTGAATTTGAAACTATTTCAAATGTTTTGAGAAATAGCAAAACAAAATTTTTAGATTGCACCCATTACTAGAAAAATTGTTTTCTGAGACATTAGCATAACCCTGCAGTGGACATTGTCGGGGTGTTGGAGTGTTGATACTTGCACATAGACACTGTGGCTGCAGAGGGTCCTTCAGAGCCTTTTACAGTGTTTTACATTTTAAAGTGGTGAACACAGCTTGAAATATGCTCAGTTTTGAACCTACAGACTGAAAACATTTGCGCAGCCCCCTAGGAAAGCACATGCCTGGCCGTTGTCTTCAATGTTCTTTGTGCAAAGTACTATAAAATGTAAGCCCTAGAGCCGAGCTTATTATATGGGAGTCTTGACTTCTGCTTGTGAGATAGGCTGTCTTTAACGAAGTGTTTGGTCTTCCTAGGCCTCAGTTTTCTCCTCTGTAAATTGGGTTGGTAATATTGAATTCATAAGAATACCAATGGGCTAACTGATTGATAAATAAGGAAACAAATAAATCACTTAGACTTGGCACATAGTGGGCACTAAATAAAGTGGTGCTGCTCCATAAAAAGTTAAAATGCTTTTATAAACCAGTGTATTGTGATCTCTCACCAAGAGCAGAGAGGGAGGAGGAGTTCTGCTTTTAAAGCTGTCTCTAGCTAAGGCCTAGAACTAGGGACTATTCTAGAAGAAAAGAGGCAGTGCAGTACGGTAGAAAGACCTTTGGCTTTGGATAACTGCAAGTTTGGTTCAGTTCCAAGCCTGCTTATGAGCCTGGCCTTGATCCGTCAATTTCTGTGGCATTCCTGTCACCGTAGAGGTCAGCTGAACTCCTGGGGTAGCATGTAATCATATGTACAAAACACCAGTAAGCCCAACTAAACAGCAGTAACTCCTTGTTACTCATTTGGAAGGACAGGAATATTTTATCTGGAAAATGGGTCCAGGGACAGGACAGTAGCAGAAGATTTGCTTGAGGGCTGTGCGCGTGTGATAGACGCCTCCATGTGTGCTGAGGTTTTTAGACTGCCCTGGGCGGCTTCTGTTACTGCACAAGGAGTCTCAGTTGGCAAAAAGCATGTCATGTTGTGTAATCCTGTCCTCCAGAGATGGGGAGAAGCGCAGATGGCAATCTCTGCATGACAGTGTGCACCGAGTGCATGCTAGCCTTGGAACCTGGGGCAGAGGATAGGGTGCTTCCTCCAGACCCTCTGTGTAAGCAGGAAGAGACGCTTCTGGGCGCAAGATGTAAACCTTTCTTCAGTCCACAAAGGGCCATGCTGCGTGTGTAACTAAAATATATCTGTGTTTTCTCTTAGGAATGTGCTTCCTTTAGAGGCATATATATATCTTCCATTAGTGTTGCCTCATCAATTGGGACAGGGTTGCCAGCCATTTTCTCATGGTTTCTTCCAGCTTAGCCCTTCCCTTGACTGTGCACACGTTAAAAACTCAGGCAATAGATTCCTTATGGACTCAGCTCCATGGGCCACTGCCCGTCATTTGATGGCACATGGTTTGAACTCTTAAAATGAGAGTATCGGGTCTGCTTGTGTGTATTTGGTGTGTATGGAAGCAGATGTTTCCACATTGCAGGAGTTTCCGTTGTAGACATTTCCTGCCAGAATGCCCCTTGCATGTATTGGCAACAGCCTGTGCCTTGCAGGGAAGGTGTTCCTGTTGTGAAATGAAACTCCAGCCCTTCACTGGTTGAATCTGTTAGGAAGTCTACGATATCGGTGGCATTGCTTTGTACTTGGGAGGACTATTCTCCTTTAAAAAGAAAAAAAAAAAAAAAAAAAAAAAACAACTGGTGATTTTAGCTCTCTATGCCCACTAGCGGCACAAAGGCAAACTGCTGCTCTGCCGGGCTCTCAATGGCCAGGGAAGCAACTGTGTTTGCAGTGCCTTCCTGGCGCAAAGCCTTGACTCTCTCTCTGCCAGGGATAGCCCTGTACAGCAAAGGGCTCCCACAAAGGAGCATGGGAGTGATGTGCTGGTAGCATGTTTATTCGGTGTGACGTCGGCTTTCTTTGAATGCCCTTGCCGCTTGGTTGTGTAGCTAGAGAATGTCGTGAGTAACACACGTGTTTGTCTGGCCCGTTTAAAGTGTGAGGCTTTGCTTAGAGAGCCTGCAAGAGACTGTAGGCAGCGTTCCATCTTCCTGCTAGCAGCAGAGGTTTCTCTATAACAGCTAGAGGTTTTATTTTTAACTGTTTGACTCAGTGCTCATCAGATGATTGGGACCATCTAGCTGCAGATCAAGCACGGAGCGGAGCGTGGGGGAAGCTGGAATGGCAAAGGGAAAGAGGATGGCTGGGAAAGGGGGTGGGATCTTAAGAGTCGTGCCTCGCAGGCTCTGCCTCCTCCCAATGTGGAAGAGAGTTAAGGGCTCCCACCCGCTAGAGTGTGTCTGCAGGTCAAGCTGGGAACTCTAGGAGAATGGCTGCCTTCTGCCACTTAGAGACCTGATTGCCCCGTGGTTAGTGTACTGTGAGGAGGGAGCAGGACCAGAGTATTGTGTGCTTTCTGCTTCCTGAAAAGCGAGCTTCTCTCCCACTGGATGCTGCTTGTCTCCGGAAGCCTCTCACCATGATCGATAGCTCCAAGAAGCAGCAACAGGGCTTCCCAGAGATTCTAACTGCTGAGGATTTCGAGCCTTTCAAAGAAAAGGAATGCCTTGAGGGGACCAACCAGAAGAGTCTCAAGGAAGGTCAGTCTGTCTCTGGACACGCAGGACGGCCATGCTCGTATTCCTGTCACCTTGGCAGCTGGCATGCCGGTCTGCCTACCACGTCTGTCTGCTTACCATCCGTGTGTCTGTTGTCTGTTCACTGTGACCCTTGCACTGTCCAAGTTCTGTGTGGTGACAGCTGCCTTCAGAGAGCGAGTGCTGACAGACAGCGATTCGAGTGGTTTGCAATGGGCATTAGGAATCTGTTTCAGTTAAATTTGTCTTGATTTGTTTGTTCATTTTCCCCAGTTTGGAGGTTCCCCCCCCCCCCCGCAAAAATCCCTATGGTTTTGCGAGAGGCCATTTCCTTTTCATTATTAATCAGAACATTGCTTTGTGTTTACAATCACCTAATTCCAAGAAAATTCATTGTTACTGATTAGCATGTTGACTTTCTGTTGTTTAGCAACAGAAAGGTAGCTGGCTCTTTCTTACTTGAGTCCTGAAATGATGAGTCAACTGTGTGTGCATTATAAGCATTTTGCCTTAAAAAGCGCTTTGCCTAGTTTGATTTTTTTTTTTAAGCAAACAAATAAGCTTGAGCATGCTACTGTTGGTTCTCATCGGCAGTGAGCGCTGCACTGATCAAGGAGATGGCTAGGGGTCTGGGAAGTGCTGCTCCTGTTTGCAGCACTCTTCTCTTAGGGCTGAGAGCACAGGAGGGCTATGGAGAGGAAGCCAGGGTCCGAAAAGAACAGCTTTTCCTCCATCCAAGACCTCAGTGCTGCTCATCCTAATGCCCACTCAGCTTTAAAACGGGTTTTCTGGTCCTGTCTGGGAGGCTTTCCGTTCTCCTTGCTCTCAGTTCTGTCTGCAGACCCCTCCTGTTCTCTCCAGTTTCTGTTCCTCCTACAGAGAGCCAGTCTGTGAGAGACCTCATTGCCCTGAGGAGCACGGGGTGCTGCTTCCACCCTTTTCTCTCAGATGGCTAAGGGTGAAAATGTGGTGATGGGACTTGGGAGTTGAACTGCCTGTGGCATTGTGTAGAACAAACATCTAGGTCACAACAGATAATATACAGTGAAGTAAATATCAGTAACTGTTGCTAAGAACTGAACAATAGGTGCGTTCTGCTTACATATGACATGTGCTACTGCAGAATGTTAAGACACCAGTGCCAAGTGAGTTTTTAGGACACATGGAGACTCATGGAGGGGGGTGGAAGGCTTAAAGTTTTAAAGCATGCATTGATAAACAGTTTAAGAATTCGCTTTGCATCATTTAAGACATTTAAGTGTCATTTTCTTTTAATGTCATCTATTTAAAAAACATTTTGTGTGCTTGTAAGATCAGGCGAATTGGAGAAATAAAAAGATATCAGAATTGTTGAATGTGGCTTAAGGGGCTTAGGACGCAAGGATCAAAAACACGAGGAAGGGGACTGCAGGTATGGGCATGTGCCTAGTATAGGAAAGTCGCAGGTTCAGTTCCCAGCACCATACATACATAGATGCCTATGCACGTGTGTACATGGTAGAAGAATCGTGACTGATTGATTACATAATTAAAATCTCCATGGCAATTCTGGGGGTTATGCAATGCAGTAAACAGTGCTGCAGCATTGGAAGAGCAGAGATGGTGTGTGGGGTGACAGGTCTTTAGGTTCGCGCCCAGTACAGCATCACTTTTGTGACCCTGGGTGTGTTCACTGCTCTGTGCAACAAAGAGGAGCAGTCTCCACGTCCTTGCATGTACACAGGAGACTGAGGCAGTGTCGGTGCCATGCTCACTCTCATCCACTGTAAACCCTTTGGTTCTATGCAAAACTTAAAGTTTAAGAGCCAACATATTTTTTTCTCATAAAGAAGTGGCCTGTGTTTTCAGAAATGTACCTCATAAAGAGGTAGAGGAGAGAACCTCGTGTTTCAGGAGAGTCCACAGAAATGACTGATAGTGAAAGGAATTGCATGGAATAGGGTTTTGACATGCTTACTTATCGGATCATGTTTTCCCACTGATTTTCAATAGTAGGGGATGAGAGTAAAGTGATACAGCCAAATATCAAATCAAGGGTAATCTGCTTCCTCAGACCTGAATTTAGTCAGAACAGAAAAATGATTTTTTTGGAAAACTCCAAATATGAAAATAACTTGTTCCTATGAAGAACTGAACCCTGAAAGTCAGTGAGCCCCAGTACCAGCTATGGGTGCATAATAAGGTGACGGCTGTGGAGCCAGGTACTGTCCTCCTGTGCATCAGTTGCAGTGCTTCTTGAGAGAGTTACTGAATGTCTAAGACTGACTTCTGAAAATGCTTCAAATCTAAGTGGATTCCTTGCTGTTTTGGCAAAAGAGGTGAATCTATAAATGATTATTAATAATACCTAATAGTTTATCTTTGCACTTATTGAAGGTAGTTATGATTTTCACTTCAACACTGTTGGATTTTTCTACTCATTATTAAGAAGGTTGCATTTGTGTCTTTGAAGACCCAACCTATAAACTCTTTACACACCTCCATTATCAGATCATAAGTTTCTAGGCAATGAATGGCTCATCTGATTCTAGTGACAGGGACACCAGCCTGGTCCTTCTGGTATTGTGGACTTGTGTCTACTGTAAGGGCTAGAAGTCTTTTCCAAACTGTTGACAGTGCTAATTGGCTGAAATTAATATTGGGCTACTGGGGGTGGGGTTCAGATTTTGTAAGGAAATAATCAAGGATATAAGGATTTTTGTTTGTTTGTATTGGGAAAGCAAGATGGTTCAGTGGGTAAAAGTGTTTGCCTCTGAGACTGACTACATGAGTTCAATCCCTGGGACCCATGTAGTGGAAGAGAACTGACTCCCACAAGCTGTCTTCTGACCTCTATACTCATGCCATCACACACATGTATGCACGCACACACGCGCACACACACACACACACGCATACGCACGCACATACAACTTTATAGAATTTTTTGCAATACATCAACAAGTTTAGTATCGTGTGGAACAGTTAAAGCTGTACCTCCATCTCATCCAGGGGATACATGGTTAGTAAGTGTTCTACCAGTGAATCACGCCCCCAGGCCAAGGGAAAAGTTCCCCATTGGTAGTTGCTATAGATACCAGGGAACCAGTTGAACAGCAGAAGATAGCACCACACTCTGCTAATGCTTACTGTTGTGGGAACATTTTGGTAAGTCCCAGTCAGGGTGTGTACCTGGAGAATTTTGCTCCTTTCTGCTCTGAGCAGCAATCGTCATGAATTCCCTGAACAGAGTCAAAATAAAGCATTCCCTTATACCCGTTCCCTCTGTGAAAACAGTGGAGAATCTTACCATCTACCTCATCTTGAATGTTTTCTAATTATGCTCAGAACACATGAACTTAAATTTACCGAGTTCTGCAGCATGACAACAAAAGAAGTGTTCATAGGAATTTCCAGGAATAGCCAATAAGCTGAGGTTCTTTATTTAATTCAGATAAGCCTCTTACTGAGTTGCCATTGAAATGAATGATAGACTGTATTCATCAAAGGCAAAGTGGTAGTACTTGTAGTAAAAAGGGAAAAGTAGAATTTGAGATGAAGAACTCTTTGCTGTTGGAGATAAAATGCCCAAGAAAGAAAGCTGGATTGTGTATTTGGCTGAAAGTACCTTCATGACCCCTCTGCATCTCACTCAGCAGACCCAGCCAGGAACTGACGTATCCCAAGGCAGCTCTCCTTTGACGGCGTTCCAGTGTCTGGGCCCTTTCACTGGTCTCACCCTTTGGTACTGAGGTGAGGAGGGGTTTCCAAGCTGAGGGAACTGCTAGGTGAAGTGTGAGTTTGTGGCAGTTTGCCGAGGGAACAGGCGATGCCATGCTGGAACATTAGATTTGCTTAAGGAAAGAAAGAATATTTGTCTGAGATATTCTAGGGAATCCAACCCAGAATGAGAAAATACGCAAGATAAATAACTTTGCAAAAGCACTTAGCTTTTCTTGTGGCAGAAATGAAGTCATGAAATCCTGCCGGTGTTTATCTGTCAGCCAGTCCAGCAGCTTACACTTGCAGTCCCAGCCGCCCCCAGTCTGAGGCAGAAGGACCAACCTGGACAGCATGGAAACCTTCTCAAAAATGGGGCAGAGGGTTAATTAAAAAAATTTTTTAAAGCACTGCCTTAGGACACAGTCAACAGCAAGTCTGCCCAGACAGCGCGACCTGGGCCTTCTGTTCTTCAGCTTTGCAGGCCAAAGCCTCTTAACATGTACTCCCTGATTCCTTCCCTAGAGAAAGTTAATCACACCAGTCCTAAAGTCCTAGCACTCGGGGCACTGAAGCAGGAGGATCCACGAGCCTGGACTCAGTGAGGCTCTGAAAATACTTGGTCCTCCTCTGCACACCCCCAGTAACTTCCTGGAGTCACTGACATTTCACCAGAGACCACTGTGTTGAACATCTGTCCCGACATCATGATCTTAATGGTTCTTGGGGACACAGTCATCTATCCTGTTTGTACTTAACCTCAAGTCCTGCACCCCACAGAAATGGTATCACTCCACAGACGTTTCTTCCTCTTTCTGTGCAGTATGGACCTGTCCATGCCAGACAAGCGTTCTGGGGCTGAGCTCTAGCCCCAGCCCCGCAACTGTATTTCAGGAGTATTGTACCCACCCACCCTACTTTAAACAAACAGTGGATATAAATCAGTCAGTCATGCGGACTCAGTAAACCCAGTGTCGGAAAGGCACTGCAGGGGGTGTGAGGGCAAACACAGATCACCAAGGCGGGGCATGATCCCATGTTCATTCCTGTTCCAGACAGAAGTACTATCAGCACTTTCTCTCACTGGCCCTCTTCTGCTCTGCTTCAGCTGGTAGTCTTTCGCTTAAGCCGGGATACATAATGGATTGCTAAGGATCTTGAGCCCTAGTGAGAGACACAGGCAAGTAAATGGCCAGTTTAGACAAGACAAATATGATAAGTCACTTGAATATGCTCCATTGTGTAGCTCAAGGACATGAATTTTACAGTACCTGTTTTGATTTCTCTGGGAATTTTCACTTGTT